GTTGAGGCATGGCATTTTATTGAGCGTGCAAGTACTTGCGTAATGTCCTTTCCTTCGGTTCATTAATTAATTCATGGTAAAGGGGAAGTGAACTCACATCTGACCAATCACCATAAAAGAAAAAATAAAATTCAAACCTTCCGTAGGAGTTCCACAAAGATCGATTATTTTTGAAAAGCATTGAGATTCCGATTTTGCCAACACAAAGGGACTTGGTTTTACTATTAGCTCAAGAAAGAGGATGCCAGCTGACCACACATCAACCGAACAATCGTACTACTATTCTTGTTAAATACGAAGCAAAATACACCGCCTAGGTAGATTTCAGGAGCTCTGTATTGGGGAACCAATATCCGCTTGGTTTATGGTCTCTTTTTTGAATATTCATTGGCCATTCCAAAATCGCAGATCTTTACTTATCCCTTGACGTTGTAGAGTATGTTATTGGCTTTAAATATTGTTGTGGACTTACGCTTCAAATCCCTATGGTACACATTCCTGGAATGCAGATAAGAAAGTGCTTCAAGTATTTGATACATCAAATATCGAACTTGATCTAAACTAAAAACTATTCGTCTCTATAACAGATTATGCAGGTCCGTGTCCATGTATTCCAGTACTAAATATGTGTTCTCTACCATAATTACTGCTTTATCCTTACTAGATTATACGACGACTTCTTGAAAACTCACTATATTTTGATGCTTTATTGATGAAAGCAGATGAATTTCTCTCATTGCCGTTCGCGGAAACTATTGATTTAAATAGGTCTTACTCCATTGGCCTCTTTCTCTTATTTTATTTTTTTTAAGGCAACAATCTACTTGTTCAATTTGTTTTAAGCCCTAAAGACCTATCTACTTAATAGAGAATTGAATCACCCATATTTTCCCTATCCTACAGGCCGTTAGATGATGTAGGTCTCGTCGAGATCCTATGCAGACAACTGGCTAGTAGTTGTTCTGCATATTTTTACATCCAAATTTCCCAACATAATATTTTGGGAATTTATTAATATATAAACCAATTTCTATTCTCTAATACAAATTACTCAATTTCTCAAAAATATATTGTCATCTATCCAATTAACTGTTTAAACTTCATCATTTTAATTACTTCATCATTCAATTTTTATTCATTTCATCAATTTTAATTACTATAACCACTTTAATTGAATCCATTGATGATGTATTTTAAAAGATTGATAATTATCCTAAAACTACTGAAACGAGAAATAATATAATCATTGCTTAAATTTTGAAGATTACCATATAAATTTCCTTACTAACTTATCTTACTAAAGAAATACTCTTGATTTGTTATTGAAAAATCGAATCTACATTTAGTATAATGAATTAACTTTATTTTTTTTGAGTTAAAATCTATGCAATCACAACATAAGTAGTTATCTACAATAGCAAATACAATAATTATTTATACTTCATCTAACATATATTAAAAAAGTTGCTAATTTGATACACTTTTATTCTAATTCTATATCAATAGTATAGATACACATGAAAAATCTATCCCTCTAGTCTCATATAGATGGAACAGGCATTGAGTTGATGCATATTACAAAAGCAAATAGTTAAATCCCTGTATGATATTTAGAAATATTCATCCATTTTTCATAATGGATTGTTACATCAAAAGAGTAAATTTAATTCATATATAAATCTATAAAGTTTAGAAGATAATCAAGGTGGTTTCATAAAAATCCTATTAATACTAGCATTACATATGACATTAAGGGATGATTTATGAATAATATCTAAAGGGGAGATGATGAAAGAATTCTAAACTTAAATCATTCATTACATAAACCTACTATTATAATTATTTGAATTTGGTAATTCAAATAAGTTAAGTACTTAATTAAATCCAAAATTTTCATATAAAAATTTAATATATTGCTTTTGTAAATCTATAAAGAAAACAACAATTTATGGATTACATAAAAAATCTTTTGCTTATAAATATACAACTAGTTAAATCCATCTATTAAAAACTGTATTGGGATTGATGATATAAAAATACATTATATATACTTAGCTCTTTTAGATAAACAAGATTAGTTAATTTTGACGATTTATATTAAGGTTATCCTAAATGTAAAAGGGAGATCTTTTTGACACTCAGATTCTTAAAGTTCTTAGTTTAATAATTATTAAATTAAATAGAATGAGCACTAGTTTGTATCATTTAGTTTTATTTGGTTTCTTGGTATCAACTCACTGTCAAATCAAGGTATCAGAAGCCTGCAAATGTTAAAATTTATTGTCTTAAAATGACTGCTAATAAAACACGAAATGTTCATGGTTGAATAAGAGCTGTTAAGAGAAGCCAGAAGAGTAAGCGATTTCGACTAAACCAGAGAGCATTTATTGCAAAGGCCGAACTTAAGAGGATTGTAGTAACAAAATAGGGTGTGCTTACTACAACTAGAATTGTATTCATTTTAGTGGTTGCACTAGCTATGTTTATACTACTCATAATGAATGCTAATTAATTAGTACACAATGTACAAGTGATGGAATTCAATGTATAAAACCAAGAGAATGCTTTAAAAATGAATAGGAACAATTGTGTAGTACAGTAATAAGTTCCTCCGGCTCAAGGAAATGTGTTTGGGAAGACAAAGTGTGCAGAGATTAAACATGTAATGAAGCATCTTAGTTGCTGATTACTGATGATGCTTGCGATTCCTTTATAAAAGGATGTGTAACTAATGGGAGAGGATGTGTAGACAAAAGGGGGAATTGTTATTATTATGATAAAAATTGTGATGGTATGATTGGGAGTGATGGCTTATGTGAATAAAAAGGTGATAAATGCTAATCTAAGGATTGTGCAAATGCCCCATTGACATATTATGCTGATCAATAATGCTAGTCTTTTAGAAAAGGATGCAGAACAACAGGTATTGGATGTACGGATTAAGCATTGAAATCATGTAATACTTATACAGGGGATGGAGAATAGTGTTTGAAATATATAGGGAGTAGTGGTAAGTGTGAAGAAGGTTTGAAGGGTAAGTGCTAAGCTAGGAGGTGTGAAAGTGCACCAAAATAATATTCTACAGATGAAGAATGTAAGTCTTATTCTTCTAAATGCAAAACTACAGGGATTGGTTGTGTGGCTATTCTATTGAATTGTAATTCATATACAGGCACTAAAAATGAATGTGAAAGAAGAATAGGAGCAGATGGGAGATGCACAGCTTAAAATACAGAGGAGTCCCAATAATGTAAGGCTAGGATTTGTTCTGATGGCCAATTTTCAACAGACAGCGAGTGTGGGTAATATCAATTTAATTGTATTTCTAATGGTGTTGAATGTACGTCATTTTTGATCAGTTGTAATAAATATAAAGGGGATGCTGAAAAGTGCAATAAGTACAGAGGAACAGAGGGCAAATGTAAAATAGGTGAAAATGGATACTGTGCATTGAATGTTTGTGAGAATGCAGAATTCAAAACAAATTAAGAGTGCAAGAGTGTTCAGTCTTATTGTTTGACTAATGGTACTAAATGTGTCACGGCTGATACTTGTCCAAATACATAATAATAGGTGACTTGTTTGGCAAGTGATAAATGTTAGTGGGCAGAATAATGTGTGACTAATGAATGTAGGTTTTTCCTTACCAAGGGAACATGTCTTGGACATTCATCAAATGTCGAATGTTTTTGGGAAGGTTCAGGTTGTGCTGATAAAAAATGCAAACATGCTGGTTAGCAATATAGATCTAATAAGGATTGTTAATTATTTTTACCCTAATGTATCTTTAATGGTTAAGGATGTGTGGATGTGTCAGCTCCATGTGAAGAATACGTTGGGGATGAAGATACATGTACTTATTATAAGGGTAGTAATGGTAAAGTGCCATGTCTTTATTATTCAGCGACTTAAAAGTGTCGATCTAAAATATGTTAAGATAACAAATCAGCTAGTACTTAAAAAGAGTGTGATGATACAATGGAAGGATGCAAATTCACAGGATCATAAGGTTGTGTGAATGAAAATGCAGAATGTGGAGAATTTTATGGAAATTCCTAATAGTGTTATGCATTGAATAGCAAATGTTCACAAAATCTTGGAGAATCAGGGAAATGTAGACCTCTGGAATGCTATGACAATTCAGTGGCATTGGAAGATTACGAATGTAATTTGTTTAAATCTGGATGTGTAACTAAGGGATTGGGATGTATAGCATCAACAGCTCCATGCACGTAATATTCAGGAAATTCAATAGATGCTTGCTCTAAATTTGTTGGAAATGGAAAGAAATGTTGGTATGATTAAGGATTTTCAGGTTAATGTGTGGATAAATAATGCACTCATAACACTGATGCATAGAATGATTAGGAATGTGATAAGTTCTTGTATGGGTGTGTATTCAATGGGAAGGGATGTCAAGATGCAGTTGAGACTTGTAATACTTATGAAGGGGATGAGGATACATGTTCTAAATATAGGGGAAATGGATTACTATGTGTAAGGATAGACTATTGTGAAGATCGTAAGTGTTCAGATGTATAAAACCCTTTGTCATTGAAAGAATGCGAGGAATATCTATCTATTTGTGCTTTTGATGGTGGAAAATGCATTGAAAAACAAGATAGTTGTGATTATTATTATGGATACTCATAAGAATAATGCTAAATATTGGTTAATGTAGATAGGGACTAATGCATCTATGGTGACAATGATTAATATTGCACCAATCGTAAATGCAAAGATGCGCAAAATGTTAAATCATAATAGGATTGCACATCTTATAGAAAAAACTGTATTTTCAATGGAGATGGTAAGTGTGTAGAGTGGGATAGTTGTTCAAATTATAGCGATTTTTCTGAATAGGGATGTCAAGATGCAAAAGACAAGACAGGAAAGGGTTGTTGGTCTGATTAGAATAGGAAATGTAAGGATAGAACATGTTTAGAAGTATTGAACGAGTATTCAAATGAGATTTGTTAAGCTCATGATTCTAGTTGTATTTTTACTGGATCTAAGTGTATTAAGAAGTTGAATAATTGTAGTGATTATGATCCTAAAATTGTGAGTGACAGTGAGTGTAAATTAATACCTGGTTGTTGGTGGAGTTCTGAAAATAAAAAATGTAAAATTAGAGAATGCTCGGATAATATTACAACTCCTTCGGATGAGAACTGTAGAAGTCATTTAGAGACATGCAGATTTAATGGTGATAAAAAGTGCGTTGATGAAAAAGATAAATGCAGTGATTATGTTAGTTTTAATGCAAGTGGTTGTAAGGAAGTCACGAATAAAAAGAAGGAAAAATGTTGGTACACGGAATAAAGTTCGACTTGTGCAGATCGCAGTTGTTCAGACAATCTACAATTCTATTCAGCAGAGATATGTCAGGAGCATTTGAGTACTTGTAGATATAATGGATTCAGATGTTAAGATGCAAAAGATACTTGCATACAATATATTGGATTTTCTAAGGAAGCATGTACAGTTGTCACAACAAAAACCAATTAGTATTGTTGGTATCAGGGTTAGAGTTCAATTTGTGTTAATGCATCATGCGAGAACGAGATCTAAGATCCTTCACCAGAAAATTGTTAAAAACATTTAGCTACTTGTAGATTCAATGGTACGAGATGTATTTCAGAAAGGGCGAGTTGCAATAATTATTTAGGATCTAATTAGGTTTGTTAGGGATTGACTGATGCAAGCAATAATTAATGTTGGTATAATATCAGAAATACTTCTGGATTGGACAACAATTGTATATTAAAGGAATGTTCAAATCTATAACATACTTATAGTTTAGACATATGTGAAAAATATATTGTCAAAACTGTAAATAACAAGTAGACTCCAAATTGTACATATGATGGGATCAAATGCATCACTATTTAGAATTATTGCTCACAATACTTTGGATTTAGCAGTGAATAATGTCTCAATGTGACTACTCTAAGTGGTGAGACTTGTTTCTAGGATCCAAACAATAATAGTATGTAATGTAGAGCCAGAATATGCTCGGATAATTAGACAGCCTTGAATGATCTTCAATGTGATCAATTTTTAAAAGGATGTGTGACTAGTGGTAGAGGATGCACAGATTCAACATAACCATGTAACACTTTTAGAGGCACTTAATCCAGTTGTTTGAGATTTGTAGGCAATTAAAAGAAATGTCGAGGATAGAATTTAACTACAAGATGCTCAGTTAGAGAATGTTTCCATGATTAGCAATCTACTACAGACATTGAGTGTAATTCGTATTTGGATGGTTGTGTAACCAATGGCAAAGGTTGTATTTCTTCTTTGGAACCCTGCTCAAGTTATGTTGGAAATCTTTAAACATGTTCTAAATTTAAGGGAAATGGAAGATTATGTTATTCAGATAGTCTTGTTGATATTCATGTATGCAGAGATAGATAGTGTTCTGACAATCTCGATGCAGTTAATGATTCTGATTGTAATACATTCTTGCCAGGTTGTGTGAACAAAGGAAGTGGGTGCATAGAAGATACAAAACCATGCTCTAGTTATTATGGAACTCAGGCCTAATGCAGCAAATTCAAAGGAGAAAAAGGTACAAAGCCTTGTTGGAATTTTGCATCTGCATCTAACAACACTAGTTGTATAGATAGGGAATGTAGTCATATCACAAGGGGTACAAATACTATAGAGTGCAATTCCTTTTTGGAAGGATGTGTTAGTGATGGATTTCAATGTCTGACCAAACGAAATTGTTCATAATTTTATGGAACTGTCAAAACCTGTATGTTGTTTGATGCTATTGATAAACCATGTAAGGGAGTTGATGAGACTATGAAGTAATGCAAATAATTATAATGCTTTGATGCACCAAATAATTATAATACAGATGAAAAATGTAATCAATTTAAACCTGGATGTAAGACTACAGGATATGGATGTATTGATAATAGGACTTGTGAAATGATATCATCTTCATAACTATGTAAAGAAAGACCTGACTGCTAATTTATATAAGGATGCTTAAATACCATTAAGGTGTGTATGCAAATCACAAAGTATTCTTAATGTTTAATGAATTCCAATATGAAATGTAGTTGGGATTTCTAAACAAAATCATGCAGAGATTGGATTTGTTCAGATGCAAGTGTTCTATTGAAACAACATGAAGAATGCTAAGCTTTGAACCAAAATTGTACAACCACAGGAAATGGATCGTATTGAGATTAGTCATTGCAACTAATACTAAAATAAACTAACATGTCTCAGTGCTATCTCCTTGGGATATTCTAAAAAATGCGTTTGGGAACTTGACCATGCATGTCTCGATCCTCTCTCCTCTGGATATTCTAAAGAATGTGTTCATGAACCCTTTGTTTGTAGAGACAAAGACTGTAAGGATGCACCTTCTTCATACAATGAGGATCTTTTTTGCTATGAAATATCCCCACATTGTGTAACTTCAGGAAAAGGTTGTACTTTATAAAGAATATTCTTGTGAGGATCTCTTAACCAAAACTAAGTGTACTCAAGATTACTAAGGAAAATCATGTCTTTGGATGAATCTCACCCAAACCTGTGTCACTTTTTCGTAGTGTTCTGATGTAAAAAAGACTACTCTATCAGAATGTCAACAATATTCTGAATAGTGTACTAGCAATGGGATTAATTGTATCTCATATTAAAAATGCTCTGAATATACAAATTCCACAAGTTGTAAAAAGGGCACAGATGGTGAATGTGGATGGGTCATTGAATAACTTAATTAAGAACCAAAATGCTAGATCTTCCAAAATGTGTTCTGATATTTTAGGTAGCACCAAAGAGAACTGTTAATAATACTCGGATACCTGTACTTCTGACGGTTAAAATTGCATTGAAATAGGTAATTGTCAATCATATAAGACTAAATATGGTTGGCAATTCATCAGGAATAGATGGCCCTTGCTTTTGGAATGAATCTTAATCCCCTCCTGTTTGTAGACTATAGTAATGCGTTGATATTCCTCTAGTCCCCTACATGACTTATCAATATTGTTCCACATTCAACCCAAAGTTAAATTGCACTACGAATACAATCTATTGTGTTGATAAAAAGCTCTGCTCTTCATATTCTGAATAAGAATGCTATGAAGGTACTGATGGTCCTTGTGTATTTGCCATCCCCTTAAAGCAATCCTCAGGTACCAAATAGTGTCGAGCCAAAGATTGCACAGATTACATCGAGACAACAACTGAAGCCTGCTCTAAATTATAAATCTGGCTGCATTTCTAAATGGTTTCAGTTGTCTTAATAAACTTAATTGTTCTGAATATACTACTGAAACCTCTTGTGATTCTGATGGAATCGATGGAATATGCGTTTTCGAGGGATAGAAATGTTCGAAAATGACTTAATGCGAGGATGCTAATAACAGTTTAAAGGCTTGTTCCAAGAAATCCAAAGTATGTCATTTTACTTACGAATAAACTAGTAATACAAATAATGATACTAATAATACAAAATGCACTAAAATAGAATGCAGGAACAGTCCTAATTGTTCTCCTGTCTTGGAGTTTTGATGAAAGTTAGGTTACTGTATGTATTTAGAAATCTAAAAATGAGTGTGTTGTAGGACTCCCACATTAACTTTCAGAGAGTAGATGTTACATCAAGAGTCATTCAACATATAGGTGGAATCCCAGTACTCTTAAATGTGAAAAGTGCGTGGCAACACAAGTAACTAACGAAACGCCACATGAAGATTCATTTCAATTATTATTTACATCAATTATACTTATGCTAATTATCGTAGCAATATGAAATTGAAACTGGACTGATAGTTATCATATAATTTCTATACCAAAATATTGATGCATTAAGAATAAATATATATATATATCATTTCCATTCATTTTGCATATGAGCTCTCTATTCATAGCTCCATGCTGCCAATCCTTTCGCCTTACACTTTTCATTATCTTTCTATAGTGTCATTTAATAGTTCTACTCGATTCGCTCTTATATGTCATTTTGGTGCTTTCGAATTCGATTCAGTTTATTCTCATAGATGTTCTTCTCCTTCTCCTGGTCTTCCTTCAAATATCGCAAACGAGCATTCTTCTCAAATCTTCCATCTTCATTCAAAAATAGAGCAGAATCCTAAGGAGGTCTTTAAACATTTAAAAAAGTGTTTTTATGCTGTGGTGTTGCTCCAAAACGAGTTGCTCCTTTTAATTATTACATGCTCTATGAAGTCTCCTCAAATGATCTAGTTATTTGTGGTAATTTAGTCTTCATATTTTCATTTCTCTCTTTGGCAGGATAAAGAGAAGGAACTACTCCAACACATCCCTTGCTATCGTATAATGTCATTCCTGGGTACAACTTAGATGAAAACTCTTAAAAGTTGACTGAACCCTTCTTCTCTGGATCCAGATAATGAATGAGTAATTATTCTTCGTCATTTGATAAAATATGCAATTCTTAGAGTTTCCTTTTCAAGTCCTCATGAGAGATGAAACCTATTATTGAATTAAGATTTACCATCTTTGTCTTTATCGAAGGAATTGTAGACATCATATTGTCGAGCACTGGCCTTAAAGATACATTACTCCACTTTTTATAACATTTGACCCATTTCAGGAGAAAATTTATTAGATAAAGATGATAATCCAAATCCTGGATCATAGAAAGAAGATTTTTGAGTGTCTTGAGCAGGTAGAGATAACTCTACAGCCTTGTTCAAAGGAGCAGGACCTTTTCTCTTCTAAGAGCATCTCTCATAAAAGTCATCATCTCCTTCTTCATAAACATAAAAGCCCACCATGTCTTTTGGAACTTATAAATTATTATATTGAATTATGGACAGTAATGCCCCCAGATCTTTAGTGTCAATCTTCTCTCCACAATTCGATAGGTAAGATTGTAATTGATTAGTGAGATCAGGTGCATTTACGTATTGCTCCTTGAGGGGATTCAGAATCTATTCAACAAATTATGTTTTTTCAGGCAGATACCTTTACAATACCTTAATCATTCTTGTTGCTCTTTATCTTAAATTATTTAAGTGATGAGAATTGATTTTAGTACAATCAAAAATATGCACCTTCTCTTCCTCTTACAAAGGATTCAACGAGATTGTCATAACTGGTTTCTGTTTCTTTTCTTCCTTCTACACATATTGACTTTGCAATTCAAAATTCTTTCAAATGTTTTAGGAAGTTCCTATAATCAATTTAATATTCATCCTTCTTAAATTTATCATAAAACTTCTTGATTATATCATCATTTACAATCTTTTCAGATATTTGTAATCTATTCTCAATATAATGAATTACTTCTAAATAGCCTCACTAAATCTTTCGAAATTGACATGTCCCTATTTCGATTGGATCCAACTCCTAAAAAGCATTGTTCAATTGAGATAACTTATTCTTCAATATCAAATTCAATTAATTGAATTATCTATTTTCAACCTGCACTTGCATTTTCTCCCTCAATACATCCTGTATTTAATCATCTTCACCTTCTAATAGCAATTACTCCTACTCTCCATTCAGAGTCTTCAACTTTCCCAAATCAACATTCAAGGCCTCATTATCATTAAATATCAAATTCATGAATTCATCCAGATTCAAATCTCCACTGTAATCCTCATCAGCACTAGCGACCAACACTCGAACTTCATCCAAATTCATATTTAAGCCTAATTTTTTAATCATATGATAAATGTTCTTAACTGTAACCTTGCCTTTTCCTTCTTCATCCCAAAGTGTAAATATCTTCTAAAAATTCTTACGATTTGCATATCTCCTTCTGATGGCTCTTCTGATTTCCTTTACTTTAGTCAAGTCTACTTTTCCCTCCAATGTATTCTTAGCATATTCTTCCATCCCCACCAATTAGGTTTCCTGTATTGCCTAACCATGCTCATCTCTTTTGGCTTAAGCAAGATCAGCCTTTATCGTCGCTGCAATAACAACATACTTATACTTGTTAATGACCGATCCTGATGAGCCCTTTGACCATCTCTCCCTTCAACATCTGTATAGACTAAATAGGAATCACCAACCCAAACTGGTTTTCGTCTTGGTTTCTCTTCAAGATGCGCAAATCTTGCTTTGTTATAAAAATGTACCTGGGTCGACTGATTTGTGGATGTTGTTTCATGGTTTTATGAGCACTCTGATAGAATTCCTGAGATTGAGAGAGTGGATTTTAGATTGTAGCTGTCAATCTCTTGGCGATTACTTCATCGAATTTTTATTCCCTTGCTGAAGACAGAAACTCTAATCTCGCCACATCTTCAGGCCTTTTTCTACCTAGAGATCTGTATTCAAAGTTGGTTTTGCCGTGAAGTTTCACTCTCTCTTTTCTAAAATACATTTATTAAATTATTATAATTATACTCAAATACACTTTATTATCCTTATTTCTTACGCATAATAATAACTCAAAATCATTAAACACTCCTTTATTGTCTATCTCGTCTTTGATCAGAACTACCCCTGTATTTGAAGGCGAAAAACTTAAATTCAATTTAATTAAATATATTTTTTATGAACATTTTTGTTTTATCGTGCCTATTATTTTTAGGTTACTCAATACCCGTATCATTCAAAGAGCAATGTCAATGCTCCAAATTCGCCAAAGAAACCTCATGTTTGGAATAGGCGAACTGCATTTGGAGTGACTAAATTTGTAAAGAGAGAAGTTGTAGTCAATATTATATCAAGGAGAAATGCAATGCTGTATCTCATTGCTCATGGAATATTTCTACTTGTACCTAATTCACAAAATGCTCTGACTATTATATGAATGACCCTTATGATTGTTATAAAATTGGAAATCAGGATATCAATTTGTTTTGCATGCCAACAGAAAACGGAAACGATTGCAAAGATTATGAGCTAGCACCCTGCGGAAATTTTCAAGATGATTGCGTTGGATTCTAAACTTAATGGAACTTGTGTTATTGGTACAATGACACCTGTAATGTCGTCGATATTAGATACTGTGACACATTAATTAACGAAGAGTTATGTTTCATTTTTGGAGAGGGATTGGGATGTCAATGGAAGGATAATAAGTGCTAAATGATCACTTGTTCCGATTTCACTTCAGAGAGCACATGCATATTGTAGAGATAGAACTTCATTGAAGATGGTCCTCTTCTGTGCATGTGGGATGGAGCAAAATGCGTAGAGGCCAAAGATGTGTCCCATTTGGATTACTCTAATTGCTTAGTCAATTCCTTCTATAATTATATATGGGATTCAGCTAAAGGGGTTTGTGTTGCTTGCAAAGATTACACACCTCCATAAACAGATACCCCATGAGAATAAGATACTTGATTAATATTTTAAGATTTTTGTATTTCAGCAACCAATAACTATTAATTAATCCCCCCATTTTACTGGATATTAAGATAACTAAAATATATATTTTATCATAAATAATAATCTTCTAATTCAACTAGTGAAGAGTCCAAATAAATCATTACATAAGAGACAAGATTTCTTTTGATAAATGTTTAAACCTTTGAGGTCGTACATTTTACCGTCTAAAAGTGTGATTTTTCATATTACATTTGTCTAAGCAACTCTTCTCCTCTCGAATATCAAATTAATATTCTAAAATATACAAGAGTATTGAGTAGATGATGTTCTGAATATCTCCAATCATGAAAGGCCTTCTTGGGTATTGTTAAATAAGGTTTAATGGAATGTTCTTAAAAATATAGTTTTAATCAAATATTTGATGTGTAGAAGATTTAACACAGAAACCATGTTTCATATGGTGTAACTTAAAATTGATTATTATAGTATTTATTTAAATAAATGGGAAATGCATGTCATTGCCAATAATTCACTACCGAGAATATGGAACTTATGTCTGGGAGAAGTGAGATCGTAAATAAAAAAGGAGACACCATAACCATCCCGCACCAGAATGGAACGACTGTAACCAAAAAAACTACACATAAACAAAATGATGATGATGGAGATGAGGATCAGCAGGTTTAGGAAGTCTAATAAATCGAAGTAGAGTTCCCAATATTCACAATAGCTAAAACGAGGCGATAAAAAGAAGTAGGCCAAGATCAATGCAGTCTCAGATACAGTGGAAATATTTGAAAACATCAAGAAACTGGATAAACGAAAGTCACCATTCGATTACTAATTAATGTTAAATGCCTTCAATGAGCACTTCATCTTTAAATCGGTGCCTTAGAGTGACATAGAGTATGTGGTTGATCAAATGTTTTATTGTACCGTTCCTGATGGCCAATTCGTCTTCAAGTAAGGAGATAAGGCTAGCTCCTATTTTTTGATTGAGAGGGGATAATGTCAGATTATCATTAATGGCGAACTCAAAAAAACGCTAAAGAGTGGAGACGCCTTCGGTGAATTGGCTATGCTGTACAATGCACCTAGGAGTGCTAGTGTCAGAGCCGTTGGAGGTATATACTTTAAAATATACATGATTAGATTGTGCATTCTGGGCCATTGACAGAAATACTTTTAGGAAGGTGGTAGAATAGCAAAATTAGAGGAGTTATGAAGAAAATAGAGAGTTTATGAAGAAGGTTGAATTTTTTTGTAATTTTTAATAATTAATTTTATAGCTTTTTTAACTGAAGAATAAAGAGATGCAATTTCTAGTGTTTTAATTACTTCGGTTTTTAAAAAGGGAGAAATCATAGTCTCTGAAGGGGATGTGGCTAATTCATTTTACATAATCAAAAAGGGCAAGGTAGCCATCATCAAGGGAGAAAAAGAAGTATCTTAAATGAATTCTGGAGAATCCTTCGGCGAAGCTGCCTTGTATTAAAGTTGTCAAAGAGCTGCTACAGTTAAGGCAGCCGAAGAAGAAGTGAGATGTCTCTCGTTGTCAAAGGATGATATCCAGAGAATATTAGGCTAAAAAATATAGACTGTTAAGTACATCAATACTTAAAAATGGGCATTGTAACAGAGTCCTTTGTTGGGAAAACTAACTTCAATTCAGATTGAGAAGATTCTATAAAACATTAGATAAGTGCACTATGAGAAGAACGAGGTTATTATTAAGGCAGGACAGCCTTGCACTAAGGTTTATATAATCTTAGAAGGAGAAATAGCTACAGTAACACTTTATTTCGTAATTATAAGGTCTATAGATGCCCTCTAAACAATAGGTATTGGGCAAAGGCAAAATCTTTGGAGAATAGTTTTTGAAATCGTAAAATTAAGACAGCAAACTTCCTGAGACAATTTAAGTATAAACAGATGAATCAATCATTGCAGAATTTGAAATAAAGATGTTTTTTGATATGATTGGAGGTAGTGTGGAATAGATGATATAGAAGAATGAAAATTCACATGAATAGAAGTATCTAAATAGAGTTAGTGTGTAATAATAAAAGAAAGATTATTCAAATTTAAAATTAGATAATTTAATTTGCATCAAGAAATTAGGTTAGGGTTAATTTGGGAATGTCTATTTGGTGAGAACAGCTTAAGATGAAAAATTATATGCGTTGAAATGTATTAGCAAGGCTTAGATTGTTGAATAACATTTGGAAAGGCATTTAGCTGTAATGAATTGTTATATAAAATTAGTAAGAAAAACAGGTTCTGTCAACAATTAACTTTCCATTCTTGATGCAATTTTATAAAAGTATGAAGGATTAGAATTACATTTATTTCTTGGTAGAGTTTATTAAGGGAATGGA